TGTGGAAATGATGCACCATCAACACGAAAATCTTCAAGATTTCTATAGTTTTTTAAAATTTCTTCAAGTTTTGAATTGATGTTTGGTTTTTCTCGAGAAAATTTTAAAAATGCCCAGAATTTTTCTAAACCATATAATTGACCTAAATAGAAAAATTATTTTTGTTATTGACACTTTTCTTTTCTTTTTTTGTTTAATCTATTTTATTATCAGCTTCATGATCACAAAGAGTTTCTTGTTGAAAATCTTCAAATACATGTTGATGAAAATGTTTTTCTATGCCATATGTATAAAATCGAAATAGATATTCAACATCATATCTATACATAAATAGTAATATTCAATTCTTTTCTCATTATTTTTCATAAAAACAATTCATTTATATCCCGATGATCAGTTTTAGTATCGTCAACAGCATATTGTTTAAATTCATTGTACATATGACGATTAACATTTTCACATAAGAAAAATGACTAAAAACGATAGAGTGTATTCATTTCCATTGATTGACCAGGGCCAAGTTTAACACGTACTAGAAATTAGATCATTACAGAAAACAAAATGTATTTTATTTGTAAATCAACATAACTTTAGATTATAAATATTTTCTATGAAATAATAAAGTTTGACGATTAGTGAAACTTAGTGTTTTTAATCATTGACGATTATTTTATTGCTTTTCAAATTTATCATGCAGATAAGAATGATAGTATTTATTAAAAACCTCCATAAAAGAGTAAAATCTTTGTTTTTTTTTGAAAATTATAGCGACAGACATATTCTCAATTATCTATTTAAATAAGAATATAAGTCTTTTTAGACTCTGATTTTTACTGGAGAGCAGTTTTCACTGTTGTTTTTAGATATGTTGACTCTTCTTTAGTCACTAAAAGACTCGTTTTTTATACGTTCAATGTAACATAATTTCAATCTTTTTTTTACTAGTAGCTTGTTTCTCTCGAAATATTGTAAATATGTACTGAACTAATAATCTGTTTTTTCTCTACAATCAACGTTTTTTTTTTACCATCAAGACATTCTTGTTTATATTTAAGATAAACTTGTTGAGTAAAACCATTTTGTTGTAAAAGTGTATGAGATGAATGTTGAACCATAAAAATCATATGAATTTGAATTATTTCCATGCCAATAATGTGAATCATTGTATGATGATGAATGATTGATCATAGAAATCTTGTTGTCGAGTTCTAAATAAGTAAAACTCATTCTATACTAATAATAATTGACATTCAATTGTTTGTATTAGGAACAAAAAATAAGAGAAAATTCGTCAAAAAAAAATGAAGCAACACAAGTTATTTTTTACTATATCCATTTACCTTACCCGTATTGAACGATAAGAAAGATGATCTTATTATCTGCAATAAGTAAAGTGAAAGCAAAACGTTTAGAAATGCAGTATTTTTGACTTCTTTTCTTAACGATAATAACTACTATCCATTTCAAAATATATTGTGCTCCGTTGTTTTCTAAATAACTTTTGATAGGAATATTACAGAGACCTGCGGTTTTTACCATTTAAAAGAGAAGATCCAAAGCAATCGAAATATATCAAAATTTCATTAGCTAATTGGATCAGTTCTTGGCGAGAATTTTGGAAGGTTTTGGATCATCTCTCTTGAATGGTGAAAGCCGAAGATCTCTATGATGTTCCTATCAAAAGTTATTCAAAAAAAAACAATGGAGCACATTATATTTTGAAATGAGAAGTAGAACAAATCAAAGAATCATTAAAACATTTTTTTTTAAATTGGCATCAGCTGTTTCTAATTTTTGTTGAGCTTTTTCATAATTATCTCTTAGTTCAGTCATTGTTTGACGAACAGTTGACTTATATTAAAAATGAATCAATAAATAAGCAAATACTTGTTTATCTCTAGCTTGTTCAATAATTTTTTAAAATTGTTCAAGCCATCCTTTTCATTTTGAATCAATAAAGTCATGTATTTGAATTAAATCATCAACTGTTTGATTTAAAATCGATAAAGTACCATTTGTTCTATATGGAGAACGATAACAACGTGCAACATCAATCAAACGAAATTCTTTCAATGATTTTGATACATCCTTATCAATACTTTTATTTAACTTACAAAAATCTTTATTTATTTTCCAAAGATCAGACAATACTTTACAAGAATCTGGAATACAACGAACTCGATTGTATTAATCAGGTACATCATCACTTCTATATTGATAAATGTAAAAAAAAAAAAAAATATTCATTTTTTATTTTCGAATTTCTTTGTTTAACCATATCGATAAATATCCTATTCGAATAAATTTATTTTCAAAACGTTTTTGATAAGGATCGATTAAATTTATTTCCTTAGAAATTTTTAATCGATAATTCGAACTATTTTATCATTATTTCATCTTATAGAACGTTTCTATCTAGCAGTTAAAAACAGATTTTCGATAAAACACATTCGAATCAGATGAAATATTAATCATTTGTTAGCGATCGTTCAGTGGAGAGAAATAAATTGTGTCAAAACTGTTCAGGTCAATATAATGTTTCTAGAATAGATTATTAAAATAATAAATAATCTTCGCTGTCAATCTTTATATATAATAAGATAATCAATACAGATTCATCTAGAAATCGATTTATATAATAAATAACGAATTTTGGACCAAATGCAAGGAGATAGTTAACTATTTAAATTAGCTTTGAAAAAACAATAATAAAGATTTAATATGAAAGTTTGTTTTTTTCAATTCTACGAATATGAAAACCATTCTTTCAATCCATTTAAATAATATAAAACGTTTGGTTAAATTTGAAAAATTCGTTTTAACAATTTGAATACTCTTCAAAACAAATGATACTTTATCTCTAAATAAAGATTTTTTTTAATGAAAAACAATAATATATAATTATTATCTTATCTCGACAATAATAACATAAAATAATTTCATTATAAAACTATAGAAAGATTTTTAACAAAAAAACACCAACAAAGGGTTAACTCAATTAAATTAAAACAAATAAATTGAATAAAATCTCATTTCTATCAATATTAGTCTAACCATTGAAATGATTTATTATATTAATATAAGATTTCATTTATTTATTTAAGAGTTTGATTTATTTCAATAAATATCTTCCATTCGTATAATATATGTTAAATCGATCGAATTATTTCAATTTCTATTGAAAATAATTCTTTGAATATTATTATATCTTTCGAATATAATTTATCAGTTTTTTTCCCCCTCATTTCAATATTAAAAAACTATTTTATTAAATTGAAATAAACCAAACATAAATAAAGATAATAAATGAGATTTATTTTTATTTTTAAATAGAATATATCAATTCTATATATTATTTTATTTTTGAATCGCTAATATAAATAAATCTATTAATATTATAATATA